GTCTGTTAAATGATTGATGGATCTAATTATAGATTATACAGGGTTTTATTTCTCTCACATTGAGATTTTTATTATCTTCAATATACTATTTTTATATGTAAATTTTGATCCTGGAAAATACGTCATGAAATCTTAAAATAACAGTTTCTGAAGGGATGCTGAAGAAACGAATATTTCCGAAGGAATTTTATTTCGATATGGAGTTTCTTATTGGCATTGTAATCCTACACGCCTGGAAACAGCTGGTTTTTCTCACAAATGGGTTTAACATAATACTAGTCACTGCTCAGATTGCAATTTTTGTACAAATCTGTTCCTTTTCTTGTTACATTATAGACAAGTTAGTAACTATATTTTCTTCTTAAATTTCTTCAATAATCTTCAGTCGTTTGTTGTACACCGTTAAACTCGGGCCTTTCTCAATATTAGGAAGGAATTACCATTGTGATTTCTTATATTTACGCGAACACTACACATGATTAAAACTACTTTTACGGATTTTATCGCGTTTATTTTTGCTTTTAATTACTTTTATTTTTAAGTAACGGAGAGAAGCGTTAAAGATGCGAAACGCCTTGTACTGCAATACAATCTATGTAATCTCATCTGCTGAAAGGAATTTACTTAATGGTTATACTTGGACGTGGATTGACGACGTCTTAGGACTGTGCACAGGGCTGCTATTTACCCATGTGCAAAATAGCGGTTTTCACATGTTCACTATTCTTCTTAAAACTACTTATACATCAAAGTTTCGCCATGCAGTACACCTTACCACTCTGACACTGACAAATAACTTTCGGCATTTTGCTAAAAGTGACAATTACGATAAATCATCCCCAATTACTTAAATTCTGACAATTTTTTATGTTGCAAGAATAATTATGAAATAGAATTCTCTTTAATTTAATGTTATTTATTATTATTTTATTTAGCAGTATGTTGATTATGCAATCATGAGATTAAAACTATAAAAACCAAAACTGTGCCCTCTAGTACTCAACGACAATAAGTTGAGGTGCGACTGGAGTGGTCCAATCACACAACAAAGCCGCCAACATTTATATAATCTATAAATTAGGCATAGAGTGATGTGGACTCTAATAAATATCTGCTTCTGTGAAAAATACAGTGTTAGTGCCGCTAGCGGTGTGTATTAAAGTTATTTTGCGATATATCAAAATTAAGAAAAAGTTGTGCTTTGTTTAGTTGTTGATAACGCCAAACGATCTCTAAACATAAATTTGGTCAAGGTATGATATAGTTAACAAAAAGTGACAAATTTAATTTTTTTTAATTTATGATATAATTATTAACAAAAACATATATTTAAAGTAAAGTATAATGTGAGTTTTGAAATAATTGCAGTTTTTATCAGTTTATTTATAGATTTAAAGCAAATACATACTAAAAATAATTAATATATAAGAAATTAAACTTTAAATTTTCGATATATGTAACTATTATCTATTTAAGTATTAATTAGTTATATGAAATTTATTAATTGATACTAAAATACATAACCGAAAGAACGAAAAAAAATTATGTTAGAAGCTTCAAATCATTATAAATTTAATTATTAAACATACATTTAATTCAATTTATTAGTAACTGGAGGTAAAATATTACCACTTATTGTATTTCATGCTAAAAGACACTGTGATGAAAAAGTCAAACGTAGATAGTCAGCGTAGTTCAAATTATTACGCAACGGTTGAAACTAAATTAAGGATTTTTAGGCTTTTTATTATAAATAGTACCCGGATGACCGAGATTTAAAGTTAGTAAAGTAAAGTATACGCCTATATACGTCCCACTGCTGGGCACAAGCCCCCCACATTTCTGAGAGGGTTTTTTTAGGGCAAGGAAGTGTACGCTGCGCTGCCCCAATGCCTGTTGACGAACTTCACATGTCTTCGAAATATTTTTTTCTTATTCCTAAGACATGCAGGTTTCCTCACGATATTTTCCTTCACCGCCGAGCACGTGGTAAATCAGCACTTAAAATCGCAATTAACAATTTCATTTGTGCCGGCGGGGATCGAACCCGGTTTGTTCGCGTATTGTGAAATTTACAGCGAGCGCTAACCATCTGAGCTACCACGGCTAATTGCTCTCTTTTTTTTTTAAATTACATTTAAATACAAATTACATAGTGATGAAAAATATTTTTTGATCTTGACATAATAGAAAAAACTGACCTGGTTATTTGAATAAAAATTATGAGTGCAATTAGTTCGAAATTTTCCTAATTTTACAAAATACTAAAAAAAGGGTTCAAAATAATAGATTTTCTCACAAAAGAAGGGAACGTGAAAAAAAAGGGAAAAAATATATAACACAGTGTCAAAATTTACCTTCTTATATTGTAGTAGTTTGTCATTGCCTGAAAACACGGACAAAAAGACATTTTCTAAAAATAAATCCTAGCTAGATCGATTTATTGCCCCTGAAACTCCCTTGACACTAAATTTTATGAAAATCGTTGGAGCCGTTTCCAAGATTCCGATAAAATATATATATATATATATATATATATATATATATATATAAGAATCGCTCGTTTAAAGGTATAGGATACACATTTTTATAAACATTTAAACATATCAACCATTTAAAATAGAAATTGACATGTAAAGGAAGAAAAATACTTAAGGCTCCTTTTTTGAATTCCGTAGTCGGATAAAGAGTAGCTTATAAGATGCCCCAGGATCCCAACTACCTTTTTTATAAAAAAAGCACACAATCTACCTGATGGTAAGTGACATCTACATCTATACTCGATAAGAATTAAAATGTAGACGCGGTGTCGCCCCTGAGGAGTACTCCTTTAAAAAGTCCAGTAAAAAGGGTCTCCGGATCCCTAAGCTTACCATACGAAATACAGCAGTATTAAGCTGCTATTTTACGCTGGCTTTCTGTAAGGGCGTTGTCATTCCCCAGTCGAGCCGACCCATTCATGTTACGACCATAATATAGGTGCAGCGTGGCTCTACCACGTATAAATACACATATAAAAGCCTATACTATATTTCCTACTGCTGGGCACAGACCTTCCCTCATTTCTGAAAGGGTTTTAGGGGAAGGAAGTGTCCGCTGCGCTGCCCCAATGTCTGTTGGCGAACTTCACATGTCTTTGAAATATTTTTTTTTCTTATTCCTCAGATATGCAGGTTTCCTCATTTCGATGGTTTTCATTCACCGCCGAGCACGTGGTAAATCAGCACTTAAAATTGCAATTAACAATTTCATTTGTGCCGGCGGGGATCGAACCCGGGTTATTCGTGTTCTGTTATATTTACATCTTACAGCAGCATCTGAGCTACCACGGCTCTTTACCACGGATAAATACAAATATGATTTCATGGAAATCTTTCCAGTAGTTTTTACCTGAATCTTGAATACACAGACAGACAGACAAAAGTTCTAAAAACCACTAATTTAGGTTCAGTGCCCTTTTTTTGTCCCCTGGCTAGTCCAGGTTTCCGAAAAATATTTGAATTTCAGTATAGTATCTATCTATATCTAAGCAGCGCAATTTTATGTGTTGCTATGAATGATGATTTAATTGTTGGTATTAGTTGCAATATTAAGATTTCCGGTATTCTTTAAAAAATGTGTTGCTTTGATTTCAAATTTATTGTCAGGTCTTTTAAAATTTTCTTTATAAATATATTTTGACACACAGTTTCAAATACAGAAAACAGATTTTATGATTTTTGATTTTATGAGTTTATCAGGGTGATCTGGCTAAGCGTTGCCAAGATCTTTATTAATCAAAGACGTGTATTATAAAAACTACTTATCTATAAGAAAGCAAATATTATAATAAAGTTGTAGCAAGATGCAAGAATATGCTTCAACTGGCATGTGAAAAATTGTAACCATGTCGGGTAAAGTCTTTGTAATATGCATATTCTTTTCTAAACTATGTAAGAGATACCTCAAAAGTGAATCTTAGAATTCTAAATAAAAGGAATTAATCAATGCAATAACAATATTTATTTCAACTAAACTAAATCGATGGCACAGTATAAAGAAATAACATAATATATCACAAACGTCTCTGAATGATTCCCGACTGCCCGTGTTGCTAATTGCTAATCCATAGACAATATTTGACGTCACTTTAACAAAATTGAATCAAAACTTAAACGATTATTTTATCAGATATAATAAGACTTAACCATAGACTCTTTAGTATTGATGGAGTGATAATAGTAATAATAAAAATAATAAAAATTAAAAGGCGTAGGGAAGTGACGACCCCATCGCCCGCTGACGAAACAGTTAAGTGACAAAACTGCTACGTCGGCGCAGTCAGTCAGCGCCTTGCCAAGAGGTGTGAGCGCCGTGCCTCGGCAGTACTCTGGGTGCAAAGGCCCGTTTGTGCTTAAGACCGTACCATGATACAATAAAACGGTGCCGGGCCTGGGCGTCTCCCGCTAATTGGCGCCCAAAAATGGATGATGGACATAAGATGGAAAGCGTATAGGGCCGCTGCCTGGGGGTCGCCGGGGCGCGTCTGGAGCTGGCGCTGGACGCGGCAGCATGCGGGCCGCCAGCCGAGCGCGAGGAGCTGCAAGATCACCTAGCAGCCCCCCGCATCCATCATCCCCACCAGAAGGCTTGGTGTCGGCTGGGTCCTCTCGGACTCGGCAAGCGGCATCCGCCGCTGGTGGAGTACGCCGCATGCGTTGGTCACAAGGATATGAACGCAAACGCAATGCGGGCGTACTATAGGGCGAAAGGGGAAGAAACTGCGGGGATGGCGTATCGGGCTCGGATGCATTGCTTTTTTGCTGAGCTGGAGCCAGTCTATTCCCGTCACGGAACAAAACCTGGCAGACCGAGTTCAGTACATCCTGCGCTCCAAAATATTCGGTGACGCCGAACTCGAACGACTACGACGTGAGGCCATTCCCTCATCGAATGGAAATTGGCTACGGCTGGGGATGAGGCTCCTCAGGCGACAGACAAACTGCAACGTAGAAGCCGCCATGGATCTTCCATTTGTGGTTGATTCAGACGATGATGGAATGGTCTCCCACGAACTAGAGCAAATGAGGAGCATATTGGAAGAGACGATTTTAGAAACGCGCAGCATGCCTCTCGAAAATCGACCGCGACTTCCCCGCATACCCCTAAGCAAGCGAAATCGGGCTGTCGTGAGGGCTCTTAACCCAATGCTGGTAACCTATTTGGAAGCCAGCCGGGACCTTTGCGAGACGGACTCAGTTCTTTTTGGCGCCGCACTGGCAGCTTGCCGTATTATTGGCGCCAAACTTCCCATGGCTGGACGCGCTACTAAACAAAGTAGCGCCATCCCAGCCTGGAGAAAAAGAATCGAGGACCGTATCGCAAAGGCAAGGGCCCTTATTGGCAGACTGACAAGCTTCAGGTCGGGTAATAATAGACCGAGGGTTGTGCGCACCGTTAGAATGGCGTTTGCTGGGACAAATATCAGTTTGTCCCAGCCGGATATCACGCAGAAACTAACGGAGCGCATAGACGACCTGAAGCAAAAAATCGCCGCTTGGGGGGAAGCGGATTCGACGATTTAGCGAGAGGTCAAGGCGGTTCAACCAGAATCGTCTCTTCCAGAGTGATCAGAAGAGGCTCTACAAATCATTGGAGCGACCAGAGGTATGTGGAGCGGGCCCAGGACCGGATCAGGCTGACACTGTCGCATTTTGGCGTGGCCTGTGGTCAGAGCCCGTAAACCACAGCGAGGGCCCGTGGACGGAAGTTGTGGCGAGTCAGTGTGCAAGTATTACGCCCATGGACCCCGTCACCATAACGCCGGATGACGTGGCTGAGGGGGTCCGTAGGGCCCCGAACTGGAAAAGTCCGGGACTCGACGGGCTGCATCACTACTGGCTGAAGGGGTTCATGGTGTGTCACGCTGTGCTCGCCCGTCAGTTTCAAGAGGCTCTCGACCAGAATTCGCTCCCTAGCCTCTTCACTACTGGGATCACTCACTTGGTTTCTAAAGACCAGGATACCACAGACCCGAGCAAATACCGCCCCATCACGTGTCTACCCACCATATATAAGACACTGACATCCATTTTGAGCGCGAGAATCACTCGTCACCTGGAGCTAAATCAGGTGATGTCACGCGCTCAAAATGGATGTCGGGGCGGTGGTCGTGGAACTAAGGAACCACTCCTCATTGACGCGGTCATTGGCAAAGTGGTGAAACGCAACCGTCGGAACTTCTCCGCCGCCTGGATAGACTACAGAAAAGCATTCGACTCGGTGCCCCATGCATGGCTAAAGAGGGTCCTCGAGCTGTACAAGATAGACTGTACAGTTAGAGACTTCCTCGAGCAGTGTATGGGGCAGTGGAGTACGATCCTTTGTCATCTGAGTGAGCGGATGATGGCTGCGGAGAACCACATAAGGATAAGAAGGGGTATCTTCCAGGGGATGTCTGAGTCCAATCTGGTTCTGCCTCTCCCTGAACCCTCTCGGTACCTTACTGGAGGGATCCGGGAGAGGATTTCAGCTACGGAAAGGAGGGACAAAAGTGACCCACCTTTTCTATATGGATGACCTTAAGTTATTCGCCTCCAGTCGCTCCCATCTTGTGGAATTGCTAAAAATCACTTGTGAATTTAGCAATTCCATTGGAAATGAGCTGGGGACGGATAAGTGTGCGGTCCTCCATGTTGAAAGGGGAAGGGTTGCTAACTCTGAGGGCATAGATTTATCTATGCCCGTCAACTTAAGGACCCTTTCCGAGGCTGAAACATACCGATACCTGGGTATGTCACAGAACATCGGTATCGATGAGGCTGGTGTGAAACAGTCAGTTTGCGACGTGTTTTATGCACGCTTGACCAAAGTGCTTAATAGCCTTTTGTCCGGTGTGAATAAGACACACGCATATAACGGTTGGGTCATGCCTGTCCTTATGTATACCTTTGGCATACTCAGGTGGACTCAGACCGAACTTAACTCCCTGGATAGAAAAGTCCGCACTACCATGACGTCCCATAGGATGCATCATCCGAGATCGTCGGTAATGAGGCTGTACTTGCCGCGAAAGCATGGTGGGCGTGGCTTTCTAAGCGCGCTCACTATGCATAATCGCGAAGTGTGCAGCCTCCGTCATTACTTCCTGGCGAGATCGGATGATCCATTCTATAATGACGTCATTTCTAGTGATAAAGGGCTTACCCCTCTATCCTTGGCCCACGAGCAATGGCAGGACCCAGCAGTGCTTAGCATTTCCGACCGGGAGACCGTATGGAAGGAGAAGGAGCTCCACGGGAGGTAATACAGGGCTCTACATGAGCCCTTCGTAGATACAGTCGCCTCCCTCAACTGGCTACGTTTCGGTGACCTCTTCGGGGGAAACCGAGGGTTTTGTCTGTGCAATACAGGATCAGGTTATTAAGACCAACAACTATCGGAGATACATCCTAAAGGATGGCACCGTCGACGTCTGTCGAGCTTGTCGCCATCCCGGGAGTCACTTAGGCATGTCATCTCCGGTTGTTCGGCGCTTTCTAACTCTGAGTACTTGCACAGGCACAACCTAGTAGCCAGAATTCTACACCAGGCGCTCGCTCTGAAATACGGTCTCGTGGACCGGAAATTGCCGTATTACAAGTACTTGCCGGAAGCCGTGCTCGAAAATGACCGCGCCAGGCTCTACTGGGACCGGGCCATCATCACAGACAGGACTATTCTTGCAAATAAGCCTGATATTGTGCTGATGGACCGGGCACAGCCAAGGATATTTTTGGTCGACATTACCATTCCGTATGACGAGAACCTCGTGAAAGCCGAAACAGACAAGCAAACAAAATATCTGGACCTGGCTCACGAGGTGACCGACATGTGGGGTGGTCTGCCGACCGAAATTATTCCTGTAGTCGTCTCTGCAAACGGGCTAATCCCAGTCAGCCTCTCGGGTCATCTGAGGCGACTGGGACTCCGTGACGGACCGCTCCGGGCTCAAATGCAGAAGGCGGTGGTCCTCGATACCGCCCGCATCGTCCGTCGGTTTCTTTCCCTTTCCCCCTAACCCTCGGCCGTTTGGTCTCCCCTGCCGAGGGCTTCCATCTGGTTGGATCTTTATTTATTTGTGTATTTTTTTGTATTTATTTTATTTTATTGATATTTATGTATATTTATCTTTCCATTTTAATTTATAATTATATATTTATAGAAACCAACCAGATGAGAAAACTATACAGATACCCCAAAAATAACAATTATAATTACTTCCTGGCGAGATTGGATGATCCTTTCTATAATGACGTCATTTCTATAACAACGAGCAATGGCAGAACCCAGCAGTGCTTAGCATTTCCGACCGGGAGACCGTATGGAAGGAGAAGGAGCTCCACGGGAGGTACTACAGGGCTCTACATGAGCCCTTCTTAGATACAGTCGCCTCCCTCAACTGGCTACGTTTCGGTGACCTCTTCGGGGAAACCGAGGGTTTTGTCTGTGCAATACAAGATCAGGTTATTAAGACCAACAACTATCGGAGATACATCCTAAAGGATGACACTGTCGACATCTGTCGAGCTTGTCGACATCCCGGGGAGTCACTTAGGCATGTCATCTCCGGTTGTTCGGCGCTTTCTAACTCTGAGTACTTGCACAGGCACAACCTAGTAGCCAGAATTCTACACCAGGAGCTCGCTCTGAAATACGGTCTCGTGGACCGTAAATTGCCGTATTACAAGTACTTGCCGGAAGCCGTGCTCGAAAATGACCGCGCCAGGCTCTACTGGGACCGGACCATCATCACAGACAGGACTATTCTTGCGAATAAGCCTGATATTGTGCTGATGGACCGGGCACAGTCAAGGATATTTTTGGTCGACATTACCATTCCGTATGACGAGAACCTCGTAAAAGCCGAAACAGACAAGCAATCAAAATATCTGGACCTGGCTCACGAGGTGACCGACATGTGGGGTGGTCTGCCGACCGAAATTATTCCTATAGTCGTGTCTGCAAACGGGTTAATCCCAGCCAGCCTCTCAGGCCATCTGAAGCGACTGGGACTGCGTGACGGACCGCTCCGGGCTCAAATGCAGAAGGCGGTGCTCCTCGATACCGCCCGCATCGTCCGCCGGTTTCTTTCCGTTTCCCCTTAACCCTCGGCCGTTTGGTCTCCCCTGCCGAGGGCTTCCATCTGGTTGGGCTTTTATTTATTTATGTATTATTTATTTATTAATGTTAGTATATTAAAAGATATTTATTTTTCCCCTTTATATATTTATCCAGCCCAACCAGATGCGTCTACTCTATTAATAACCCAAATAACAATAATAATCTAATCTAATTAAAAGACTAATCCCAGTCAGCCTCTCGGGTCATCCGAGAAGACTGGGACTCCGTGACGGACCGCTCCGGGCTCAAATGCAGAAGGCGGTGCTCCTCGATACCGCCCGCATCGTCCGCCGGTTTCTTTCCCTTTCCTCCTAACCCTCGGCCGTTTGGTCTCCCCTGCCGAGGGCTTCCATCTGGTTGGGCTTTTATTTATTTATGTATTTTTTGTATTTATTTTATTTTATTGATATTTATGTATATTTATCGTTTCATTTTAATTTATAATTATATATTTATATAACCCAACCAGATGAGAAAACTATATAGATACCCCAAATAACTATAATATATAATAATCGGGCATCCTTCAAAAACGAGTTCCTTCGTTTTTTATTAACTATATAAGTTAATATAGTAATACCATTTTATTTTAGGTATATTGTACAATAATTCATATTTACTAAATTTACATAAATTTTCACACAATTTTAATTACTAGTGGTAACCACCATAGTACAATGTGTTATGTTATGTCTAATTCACTGCAGCTGTGCAAAGTGGAAGCTACTTCCTTTACTTTCACAACGCATCACTTATAATAATTGGTTTACACATGGGTGGCTAATTCATAAGCCAATCGTGCACGACAATATACAATACAACGTGTACATTATTATCACTGAATATTAACTAGCGGTGAGAGGGTCACTTCCTTCACCATCACTCAGTCATCGGCTGCGGTACTTCAAGTCAATCATGGGCGACGAGTTCATACGCCAATCCTGCCCGACTCTAATACCCCTCACTCAATTAATATCTATAGCCGTGTGGTGTGAGAGTTACTTCCTTCACCGACACACCATCGTCGGCTGCGGTACTTCAAGTCAATCATGGGTGACGAGTTCATACGCCAATTCCGTCCGACTTTAATACTCTCACTCAATCAATATCTATAACCGTGTGTGTGAGAGTAACTTCCTTCACCGACACACCATCATCGGCTGCGGTACTTTAGGTCAATCATGGGTGACGAGTTCGTACGCCAATCCTGCCCGACTTTAATACCCTTCACACAATAAATATCTATGGCCCTGTGGTGTGAGAGTTGCTTCCTTCACCGACACACCATCGTCTGCGATGTTTCGAGCTACTCATGGGCGGCGAGTTCGTACGCCAGTCCTACCCGGTCCAAACGTCCTCACTTGTCTCCATGGTATCTTTCTTTTATGCCTGGCAAGTTCTTATGCCGGTCATCATTCAACGC